TATCAGCGTTTAATAACACGATCTTCCATTTGAGATTACTATCTTTTCGAAATTCGACATTTTCAGGTATTCAAACTCAGCGATACGAGAATTGTAAAATCGAGTTTCACGATAATTAGATTATTCGTTTTGAAATTTATCAATTTTAGAATTCGGCCAGAATCGAATTCAACAACTCTGAAAATCCTTAGAAAACAAAGTTTTCCGTAAATATTTTTGCTAGGAATTCCCGTTTTCAAAGAGTTAAGTTTGAAATATCATTTGCAATAATTAGGATTAGATTAGATAAATTATAAACTTGAATCCCCTGGCAAATTTTTCTTTCTCGTAGAATTCTTTATATAATTTTCAGAATTTCTCTATATAAATTTTTAAAGTTTTTAAAAGTTTGTATAATTTTACAATCTGAGAAAATTTTTAATTTAAAAAAAAAATTTCTCAGATTTATTTACTAGAATAAAAAATGCTGAAAAAGTTTACATCTCTTCTGGAACTTTTTATACACGTGATTTGTAAAATGTTCTAAGATTTCTTATTCTATAATTTCCAAAGAAAGTTTATAGAATCTGAAGAAGTTTGGTGTTTTTTAGAAATCTTCATAAATTTAAAATACGAAAGATTCTTAAAATTATTATATAATATTATGAGACATAAGATTTTTTTTCAGGGCTACATTGACGAATGGGCGGTAAGTTTGCAATCTTTGTATTGCAATTTCAATTTCGCCTTATCTCTGTCGGTTTTGGTATCAGTTCCAATGTCGTGAATCACGATTCGGGCGAAACGCACGGTCCATGTCACCGCCACGCCAATCGAGATCGGGTTCCGAATGTATCTCCTGTGAGATTGACACTTTATTGCGGTCGTATATACGAGATTAGAGGAGATGGCATTCCACTATTCACCTATGCTCGGACTTTCTGGGCGTTACTTCTGGCGGCGTCGCCGATTCAATATGTGAACTTGTTGGATTTATCGGATTGCCCTTACCCTGTAGCCTTAGCTGCCATGACTCGTATTTGCGTCACGCTTCTTCTACAAATTGCCGACCTGGGCAAAATGTCCCATTTTGTTTCCTTCCGACAAAAAACCTTCTTGCAACACTGCACTTACACGCGCACCAATCGCCAACGATCGATTTCAATGTTTCTCAAATCGTAAAACGTACAATAGAATAGGAGTTTTCGTTTTGATATCAAGATATACGCCCAAGATACTAATACTATGTCGAATGAATACAATATACATAATAAGATTTTTATTCGGAGACCGACAAGAATTAAACACTAAGTATAAGAATATTCAAGCCTATAATGGTCAAAGCTAGATCTTTTTTGCCTAAACAATTCCCAGTGAATTATCTATATCCTATACATACCTAAATGTATTTGTAATATATTATACTAGTCTACAAATTTTTAACCCTTACCGTATCCTGTACAATTTAGTGCCTCATCCATACCATCAAGGGGGTCACTAGAATCTCTTCGTTTTTTCATCTCTCCAAAACAATTTAAAAAATCTCTAAAAATTCACCAATATACTTTCAACTTTCTAGAATAAATATTGACTCTATATTTTGGAAAATAAATAAAACGTGTGTGTGTAGTATAATTTATAATTACCGAAAGACTCAAAGAAACTTGCACGAACAGGAATCGCTCGATCACTAGTTACCCATATTGGTACGGTAAGAGGGTTAATAATTTTTAGTGCAAGAAAAGGAAATAACTTTCTTAATGCATTTTGAAGCGTCAAGTTTGAATACGTTGCCAGAAAAATTTTATTAGAGGCCAAATTTTTAAGATATAGCATTTCTTATTGAATAATTTAGGTGCGACAAGAGAGCAAGGCAAACGTTTTCATCAGAATTTGACGATGATTTGATGAGAAACATTATCAATATTATTAATATTATTTACAGTAATAAAGTATAGTGTTATTAAAGCGCATTGATTAATGCGACAGAGAAAAGTGAATGTAATAGATATTTGTCTTTCAATTGAAACAGCAATCGAGCCTTGGAAATCTGATGTTTGAGATGCCTTTAAAATGATACAATCAATTGATTTTATTGAATAAACAAGTGTCTACAGCCCAAGGGCAAATATATCGAAAAACAATAGAGCAACAATTATTCATTCTGTTTGTCAATTTGCGGAAATTTTCGACGTTGTCTATATATGTATTCATATAGGTATAAATTATTAACTTGATACTAAAATATTGTTTCCGAATAAAAAAGGCCGAAAACTGCACGTTTTTAGTAAATATATAATCCAACAGGTACGGATAACTACTGTAATCGGCTAACATGGCCGACCAGCACGAGAATCGAAACCGTCGACAGTGGAGCTGGCCGGAAATCGATTACATCCAACAGTAAATAAAATAAATCGACGATTTAAGCGGACGTAACGGCACACTGCGGACGACATTAAATAGGATGACAGAATGTAGTACAAAATACACAGTACGAACACATACTAGCACTGCGCGTAGCCTCGTGTTTTTCACGGCGGTTTTGAGTATTTTTCACAGCATTTTTGTTTCAGTTATGAAAACGCCATGCGTGATCGGCGCATTTACCGCGTACATTTTAGCTAGCTCGATGCTGTTCATAAAACGCAATATCCAGCTTTACGAGGTGCTCACAGCGCGAACGGCCACGCTTCTAAATAATGATACAACTCGTTTAGCTAGTTGATCATGGTGCCGCATGCCCGGAAAAATCCATAAACGTTGCTTCGCTTTGCTAGATTACTAACAGCGGCACAAATATCCCATCGAATCGTTAATTAAATGACAGGCGTCGATCACCGGGTCATGGATCACCGATCGATAAATTCCACTCGGACGCGCGGCGCGGCGATTCCCGGCACGCTAATGAATACGCCGACCTATTCGCGCTCAACAAGCGGGCAAGCGAGCATTTCGTTTCACATCAGATTTGAACGATAGTATGCGATTTAATGTAAATATCGCAGATACAGCAGAAGCAATATTTATTTTATGCAATGCGAAACATGCGTAGTAAATTGTTGATGCACGTAGGGTTTTGAATAGATACTAATAAAACACCAATCAGAAGCAATAAATACTTGTCAAAGATCGATATACGAACATTCCTTTTTTTTTGTAACAATATTTTTCAAGAAATATTTTCGATTTTCCTACCAAAAGTTATCAAACACTCATTATTCAATACCTTTTTTTTTATACATGTATCTACAACTATTTTATCGAATGCGGATCTGTTCTAGTCAATTCGAAACGAATAACTTTCATTTTTACTGGATTTAAACATTTAAATAACTAACACGTACGCGATAATAACGATTAGATAATTAATAATGAATTTCATTTAAAGCGCTTTATGTGACAGCGCAGCGATTTAATGTCATTACGAATAAAAAAGATCAACTGTTGTATTCACTATTTTCAGTTAAATAACGCTGCGAGAAACATCCGAAATGTGAATATATTACTTACACACATTTAAAGTGAAAATAAACCAATTACAATATTTAACGACAGAAGCTAGTGATGACTAAATGATCGATCGGAATTGAACTTTTATTTCTATTCATTACCGCGACTAAATATTTATTGCCAAACCCACGAGCCCTATCGAGCAGAAATCTGTTCTATCCACAGTTTCCAATTAAATACCGCCACTAGGGATATCCGAGGTGCGACAGTTGATCTTTCCATCTCCACCTAACCTAGCCATCCAACTCCGTAGACGTGTCACTTGCAGAGATCGCAGCAGGTAAACGTGCAGCGGTGAGACCGGCCGAAGCATCGACGGTGGTGCTATCGATCTACTGATCGTGTAACCGGCAGGAATCGATAACTAATACGCGAAGCCCGCCACCGGATGTTGCCTTGTTGATAAAGGACCGCTCTAGTATGCGAGTATCGGCGGCATCAAGGACGCCGCAGGAGGGCCGTAGGGCACGCGACTACCGGCACATAATTGATTGGCATTAGCGCGCCTGATTGCCAGTCGCCCTCCTCTGAAATCGTCCCACGGGTTGCTTAAATACTAGCCAACGTCTCTCTGAACCAAACAGTATTTGAGCGGTTGCGACACTAATCAGGCAATATAGTGCGAGCGACGAAGGAAGGTCAATTGGCGAAGGCTTGGCTCGTCACTTGCTTTCCCATAACGTTGACGTTGAATAATTCCATATACGCGATAAACAAAACAGCTCAACGTTTATCGTACATTCTCCCGTATACATACTGCATACATTCTGCCCTTACATACAGATGTGAAACTAAATGAAACTTAACAACTACAAAATCGTCAATTTCCTAATGAATATTAACAAAATCGAAAATAAGAATTGCTATTTGAAAAATCCTCTTGTAGGAAATAATTGTTATTTTTGATCACGCTCAAACGGGTACTTCTTATTATTACAGAGTATATATA